GCGGGCGCCCGGGAGCCGGGGCGGAGACCTCGAGGGCGGACGGTGCCCGCCACGACCCGTGATCGGGGCCACGAGAGACGCCGCGACCGGGGCAGCCAGCGACCCCAGGATCGGGGCAGCGCCGCGACCCCACGGCCCGTGCCAGGAGCCAGTACCAGACTCGCGTGGGCGCCCTGCGCCCTGGGATTCTTCCCCGGCCGGCTCCTGCCCGGGATGCGCTGCGTCGGGGCCCGGCTCGCCCTGCTCACAGCCCGCCCCGACCCCCGGGAGCCAGCGCCGCCGGACTGCAGGCGGGGGTGCACGTCTGCTTTGGTGTTTCATCACATAAATCTATATGCACATAGATGTGTGTGTGTGTGTAAATGGTGTGTGTGTGTAAATGGTGTGTGTGTAAATGGTGTGTGCATGTGAGCCCTGGGCTGGAACTCAGGGCCTTTCTTGGCTTTTTCACTCAAGGCAGGTGCTCTACTACTTGAACCACACCTCCACTTCCAAGTGTTTTTGCTGGTTGTTCAGGGATCAGGAGGCTCAGAGGCTTTGAGCTTGGGTCCTCAGGTCTGCCTCAGCCTCCTGAGTAGCTCAGGTGGCAGGTGTGGCCGCCGCGCCGGCTCTGTCTTGCTGCTGGACAGCAGCTGGCCGCGGCTGGCCCGGGTCTGGGCCGTGTCCGGGATCCGCGGCGCTGCCCTTCGGCCTGCACGCGCGGACCCGGGTGTGAGCCATCTTTCCTTCTCCACAAGCCCTCACTTAACAGAGTTAGCATCTTTGCCTGGAGGAGGCAACAGGGCTTTCCGCGTCCCAAAGGGAAACCGTGGCGCTCTTCCCCGCGCCTCGGAGGGAAGAAACCCGCTTCCCTCCCTGCCCAGCAGTCAGCGCCCGCGCGCCCTGACCCGGGTGCCGGCCCCAGGAACCAGCGGGAAAGCCTGCCCTGCCTGGCTTCTAGAAAACCCTGCTGGTAGGTTTGTTTACTCTCTAGAAGGCCGGTGGATGTCCACAGATCTGAGATGATCAGGCAGTCTGACTTCTGTCCAGCCCGGCCAACGCTCCACTTTTTAACCAGGCTGAGCTCAATAGCATCCTCTTAACCACCTGGCTCTCCACCCTCCTCCCCCAAATTGCAGCTGCGGGTGGGGCTTCCTCTCTCAGAAATGCCCCCCCCCCCGCGTTGATCACTTTAAACTCCATACTCTGAAACACTTGGCTTCCTCCCACAAGAAAACAGAAGTATCTGGGAATTTCCACAAATGCCCTTGAACATACCAGAACTTCTGAATGTTACATCTATGTGCATGGTGCTATCTGAGTGCTAGTAGCCCTCAGAAATGTCACCCTCTAGTTCGGCACTGGTGGCTCACGCCTGTAACCCTAGCTACTCAGGGGACTGAGGTCTGAGGATTCAAGTTCAAAGCCAGTCCAGGCAGGAAAATCCATGAGACTCTTATTGCCAACTAACCACTGAAAAGCTGGAAGTGGAGCTGTGGCTCCAACAGTAGAACACCAGACTTAAGCAAAGAAGCTAGGAGACAGCCCCTAAGCCCTGAGTTCAAGCCCCAGTACTGGTGCACACGCATGTGCGCGCGCACACACGAGCGCACATACCCCCAAACTTTGAACCTCTACCATGCTCTGATCTATAACAGACTTTAAAAAAAAGTTAAGACTCAGAACCTTAGAAACCAGTAGATCTGAAGAAAGGAAATTTTTGAAAGAAAAGTAAATCACAAACCATTTCATACCTGCAAGTTGTAGGTCACGTATGTTGTAAATAAATTCATTCTTTTAGAGTACCTGTATTGGTGATTAAAGATTAGAGCTGGTGGCTGGTGGCTCACACCTATAATCCTAGCTACTCAGGAGGCCAAGATCTGGCTTCAGATCTGAGGATCAAAGCCAGCCAGGGCAGGAAAGTCCATAAAACTCTTGTCTCCAATTAATCACCAGAAAACCAGAAGTAGTGCTGTGGCTCAATGGTGGTAGAGTGCTAGCCTTGAGCTAAAGCGCTCAGGGACAGCACCCAGGCCAGAGTTCAAGCCTCACAATTGACAGAGAGAGAGAGAGAGAGAGAGAGAGAGAGAGAGAGGAAGAGAGAGAGATTGAAGACTGTAATAATAGACTGCTTTGACTTATGTTACCTTTTCTATTAATTAAACAACAGACTGCTTTCATTTATGTTACTGCTAATTAACACTTTTTCTGCATTAATGGCTAATTAACACTTTTTCCTGCATTAATGGCAAAATAGCTATCATTTATATGTGTTTTATACAGAGATTCTAAGCTATATATTACACAAATATATCTTATACATGTAGATCTTAGAATATCTTCTAATAACATAAAGACTATCTGATAGAGACAATAATAAAAACTATTTTGGGAGGAAGAGATTTTCCACAAAAAATATAGACATGGCTCACGCCTGTAATCCTAGCCACTAAGGAGGCTAAGATCTGAGAACTGCGGTTCAAAGCCAGCCATTAGATGGTGGGAAGGTAGGCAGAAAAGAATATGAGAAGCTCAGCGCTGGTAGCTCATGCCTGTAATCCTAGATACTCAGGAGGCTGAGATCTGAAGACTGCGGTTCAAAGCCTGGCAGGAAAGTCCAGGAGAATCTTATCTCCAATAATCCACTCAGAAAATGGAAGTGGTGCAGTGGCTCAAGTGGTAGAGTGCTAGCCTTGAGCTGAAGAGCTGAGGGACAGCGTTCAGGGCCAGAGTTCAAGCCTGACTGACCATACATACATACATACACACACACACACACACACACACACACACACACACACGTATATATATAGAGAGAAAGAGAGAGAGAAGAAAAATAAGTCTTTATCTACTAGGAATCCTAAGGTTTCTTGTGGATTCAGAAAGAACTCAAAGGTCTCTTCCAGAAAGAATCTCTGATTATTCTTTTTTTTTTTTTAATTCAAGCATGACTCTGATTATTCTTCTTTTTAATTCAAGCATGACTCTGATTATTCTTTAAAAAGAAGAAGAAGAAGAAGAAGAAGAAGAGGGATGGTAGGGGAAAAACAAAGGAGGGGGTAACAATGCCTGATAGGAAATGTACTCATTATCTTACGCATATAACTGTAACTCCTCTGTACAGTATCTTTACAATAAAAAAAGAAGAAGAAGAAAAAGAAAAAGCGAAATTAAGTCTTCAGTGAATTAAAGAAATACCTCTTGTAAGGAACCTTTTCGTTTTTTCTTTGCTTTGGGTTTCTGCTCCTGAGTAAGGTTGATGATTGGAATGCAGGTCCTGACTATTTGGCTCTGTTAGAAGGATGTTCTGCCTGGTGCTGGTGGCTCACCCCTGTTATCCCACTACACAGGAAGCTGAGATCTGAGGATCACAGTTCAAAGCCAGCTTAGGCAGAAAAGTTGAAGAAGTAGAGCCATGGCTCAAATTGTACAGCACTAGCCTTGAACAAAAGAGCTCAAGGACAGCACCCAGACCCTAGTTCAAGCCCCAGGACTCACAGACACATACCCCTCACCCCCCACACATGTCCTCACCCCCAACAAGCAAATATTCTAAATAAAACATAACAAACTATAAAATAAAGGACCATTATAAGCAAAGTATCTACAGCTCTGCTTCTTCTTCTTTGGTACCAGTGCTGCAGCTTGAATTCCGAGTCTTGAGCTCTTGCTTGACTTTTTCCCACAAGCCTGGTGCTCCTACGATGTGAACTGCAGCTCCACCTCCAGGTCTTTGCTAGTTCATTGGAGATAAGAGTCTCTTGAACTGTCCTGTCCTGCTGGCTTTGAGCCTCAATCCTTAGATCTCAGCCTCCTGAGTAACTAGGATTACAGGCGTGAGCCACGGG